AATTGTACTATAATTGTGCGAAAAGTACTTAATATGTAATTGGACGAAGGTATGTTCCTGTAATTGGAACATCCTGTAATTAGATACTGAGGCCTCTGTGGTATCTAGGATTGAGATATGGAAGTGGTTTTACAAATGCGTACTATAATTATTCAAAGGGGTACTAACTGGATGAAGGAAAAGAGCTGTCATCCCGAAATTCGATACTAAGGTCTCTGTTGGTATAAAGGAATATGATAAGGAGGTGATTAAGGAAATGTGTACTATAATTGTACGAAAGGTACTAAATGTTACTAAATATTACTAAATTTGGTATTGGGTAGAGAGATAGAGCTCAAAGCTCCTCAAATTCGTTATTGAAGACACTGCTGATTTTTCATAGGTTTTTCTAATATCCTCCCCGGTTGACTTCAAAATTAAAGATTTTGAAAGGGAAACATTTGAATAATATATAAAACGATGTAATTAGTTTGGACCAAATTGGTTACCTCTCTGAAAGAATCGGGCTGACCAGCCAGCCAGACAGACGGACACCCCTTGATCGACTACAAGTGTCCCCAAATGGATTACGTCCAAAAAGATCTAAGTTATACCCTAAGATTTTCTCCACAGACACGTCCTCGTTAAAGTGACGTGATTTATAACCTGATTCTAATTAAGAATTTAAAATATTAATAGTAACAAATTTCAAAATTACTTCCAATAAAAACAAATTTAAGAATTCTATCCAAAGGTGTCCGATCACTAAGATTTCCTATGTTTTAAAAGCTTTTCACGTGATTTTGTGTTTTAAATAGTTTTTCTTATATTTTAAATAATTATAAAATAAATAAAAAGTACCTATGTTCCATATGCACGTACGCAGGTCATACCTTTCAAATATTTTTTATTATGACGCCAAGACTTTTTGTTTCTGTTGAAATTTCTTCGGTTCCGTATTGACGAAATATTTTAGTTAGTTGTTGTTGTTGTTCTTTTAGTTTTACGCATTGTCCAGAGATAAAAATACCCACCCACTCATTCACTCAACTCAACCCAGTTTTGCGTGACTCTCAATGAATCACAAAGCAAATAATGAACACCTAGCACCAATTTGCCTCCTCTTTTCACAGAAGACGAAGAAGAATGTCGACGACAACAACACGGCGACACCAAGAAAACAATATCCCCAAGATTGTACTCACAAGATGTACGTCCATATGTACATATGTGGTACGCACAAAAAATAATGCTGTTTCATTTGATTGTCAAGGTTATTAACAGAAATACGAAAATTTCCGCAATTTGCGGTTAGTCGGTCGGTCGGTTGGTAATGATGCTTTCGTTTTATTCTGTTCTGCAAGCAGAGGCACCTCAGATATTTACAATGAATTTTTGCCGGTCCGCCCGTTCGCGAGGATGGTATTTATACGTTCTAGCGAATATTAGGGTGGTAAAAATTACAAGCGTACTTGTTGGGATGTTTCAGATTGGATTATTTATTAAAGTCTGTGCATGATTTATACGTACAAAGGTAGAAAATATTTACATCTGGTCTTTATTATAAAATTTAAGACCTGGAATTTTTTTGATGTACAAGGTTTCATTATCTGACATAATTTCATTATCCTGACATCAGTAAACCCCATTACATCAAAAACATAGGATATTTATTTAACATTACTACAATTTAATTGTTGTTAGATTTTAGATTAATTTATGATAAGGTCTTAATTAAAGGCGAACAATCGATTTTAACTTACCTGTTTCAGTTTTGATTTTGGAGACATCATTTTTCAAAACTGAAATGGAAAATGAAAATACAATTGTTAGATTCAAAAAAAATTGCATAGTTTACCATGGTACACGTTTTCGTGTAGCTCCCATATAACAGTACCTCCCGATAGTCGATATTTTGGTGATTTTAGTAACATTATTCACCGGAATAGTTTAAAATTTCTCATTGGAAGATCTTAATGGTACCATGTGACGGTACCTCCCGATACTCGGTATTTTCATGATTTTGCGACATTATTCACCAGAAGTGTAACACATTTCGTATTTAAAGTTTGTAATGGGTACTACAACCTATGACAAAAAAAAATCGTATGTAGGTCCATGTCTTCGCACAGGCCCCATATGGCGGTACCTCCCCATACTCGATATTTTCATGATTTTTGCGACATTATTCACTGGAACTGTTTCAAATTTCGTATTTTAAGTTTGTAATGGGTATTACAGTCTATGACAAAAAATTTCGTAAGCAGGCCCACGTCCTCGTATAGTTCCTATATGATGGTTTCCATTTAAGTAGTTTTCGGATTTTTTTGAAATTTTTCAAGTTCCTTCCAAATGGTGGAGAGTATTAAAAGTTCGGCCTGGCCGGACTTAGCAGTTTTTTTACTTGTTCTAGCATGTATTATTGCCTTCTTTGAAATGTTGGATGGAATCCTATTTTTGAATTTTACAAATGTTTACTCTCCACTCTTTTGTTTTACTTGCAAATAGAATAACGGTAATACAAAACATAATAGAGCACTTGCCAAGAGTATCATGAGTATAATCTGCTTTTTTTTTCGAGCGAACTTTAATTCCAATTCAAAACCAGCGTAGCAATTCCGCTCTTATTTGAGTGGTAAGGGAACATTGAGTATGAACGATTTTGTTTCTCTTTTTACTCGTATGTATTTTTCCGCCTGAATTCGACTCTAAATCTAATAACCTGCATTATATGAGGTTTTTTGGCATAACCCCCACCAAAAAGTGCGGAGTTAAGTTGAGTATAGACGATATGCTCGGATTGGTCTGAAATTAAAAAAAAAATATTATGTTTAGAAAAACCATGGTTCGCGTAGCCGGTGTCCACTTTCGACTTTTAGGAATTTTTCAAAACGTTTCGGTACAAAAATACCAATTCTCTTATATTGCTCCAGACTTCGGTTTAATAATAAGTATTTCCATGAAGTTTATGTTCGCAATCGTTTTGGACATAATCTCCCTTATAATGGGGGACTTTTCGAAGAAGTACTTTGGATAAAATTTCATTGTGAGGCTCCAAAAAAAAATAAATTTATACATTTTATGTTTGCCATGAAAAATGTTATCAATTTTTGTTTATAAAAAACAACTTTTTATTTTTTAAAAAAAATAGCAATTTTGTTAAAATTCGCTGCATATTTTTTTATAAATTTTCTGTCCAATATACAGTTATATGAAAACGTGAACCTAATTCCGAATATTGGATTTCAACCTTCCCCAAATACCAATTTTAGTGCCACTCAAGCGCTATCCGTTCACCCAATACCAGCCGTTCACCCAAAAACAAATTGTTCCAGATATAGTAAAATTTATTACAGTTCTTCCACGTAGCGTACTAAAACTACGTCCGTATACAAAACTTTTTCTCAAATTTAATTCTTATACAAAATTGTACTTCTTTCATTTCATTATAGTACACATATATAGTTCGAATTTCCGAAAAAAAAATTTGATACATCTCTCATACACTTCATCATTGACCCTTATTTTAATTTCCGAATTCTAACTCAATCCGTTTGCTCAACACAATTTATTTAATTTCCAGTACCTTCCCGTAAAGTTGTACTTCGAATTTACAAAAACTCATCCTCATCACACCCCTACATTTTAGGATACCAACATTTTAAGATACTAACTTTAGCCGTTTCTCCTGGTCGTTGTATCAGTCACTCACCCATAGATATACTTTCAAAATACATGGCTAGAAATGGATGGAGTGTTCACTTTAAAGGCTATGACTTTGTTTTTCAAGTTTACCACTGAAAATTTTAATTTTTTCCATTCGAAAACCTATTTCGCAACAATTCCATACAAATTCCAAATATAAGAAAATAAACTTTATATTATTTGACTATTCTTAAAATTTTCTTTCGTAATACAGTATCTCGTATACCAATTTTCAAACCAATATCTACATTATTTTGGAAAATATAACGATATAAGTTGGGGTATGATGAACATTTAAAAAAAATCTAAAAAAGTCAAATTCAGTCAAGCCGTCCTCAACTAATGCAATTACCAACAAAAGATATTTGATTTTTATATTTACATGGATTTGCATTCAAAATGGTGCTTTAAAGTCCTGACTTCTGGGACGCTTACCCTACAGGTCATCTCAAGTAATAAACGATTTTTTACTTCTCCTCTGATTATGGCCAAGTCCCAAAAATCCAGATGACAAAATCATTCAATTTAAGATCTAATATAATATAAAAAAATATGTTGCCCCATTTAAAATTCCCACAATTGTTTCCTTGTTTTTATTTTCAAACAAGTTGTCTCTAGTTATTAATTAAATGTGTGCAAAAATTATATTTTGTTCCTTTTATTGCATAATTACAACCTCTTCATTTATATTAGTACAGTAATATTTTTATTTCATTGACCTTCAATTATAAAAAGCCATATCTTTAAATTTCCATCCCCGGCCATTATCAAATCAATCCAGTATCATAAAAATCATTAATTTTACGATCTACTCTAATGTAGACATTCTTTTCCCTCGTTTATAATTCTCTACAATTCCCCTTTACACATTTCTGCTCTCAAACAAGTTTACGCTCTCACAAAACACGAAAAATTTCTCCAACTATTTGACAACTGTGTTTTCTCTCTCTCTCTTCTCTTTGGATAACGTTGATAAAAACAGCTGTTCTTGTTTTCATGTAGTGGGAATTGTCACCGGCTGTCGCATCTGTTGTTGTTGTAGTTGCTGCTGCAGTTGATGACGTTTCATTTGGCTTGATCTTGTTTTTGTTTTATTTATTTGTCTTTCTTTAGTTCATATTTTATTGTTGGACTTGGTCGGTCGGTGACGGCGATCTAAATATAATCATATTGTGACGTATGCAGGCAAAATAAATAAAATGGGTGTGTTTGTGTGTACGACGGCGGTGCCCAACAACAATTATCTGGTGCTGAGTTGATTTCTGTATATACGCATTGCTGCTGAGCAACAACAGCCTGCCTGCCAGTCCGCTAGCCAGCCAACAATCAACATTTGGTTGGAGCCAGTTCGTGTGAGTGTATCCAAGTAGTGTGATGTGTTGGGGGGCCTCGTATTGAGAGCCAACCCAGCCATTCATTCAGTACGATACTCTTCGTCCATAGTGACAGTTTGTTTTTCGCTTGCGCAGACAAGTCATACGGTCCGGTCCCTCAACAAAAAATCTTTTGCTTGAACAAACCCCCATTGTTTTGTCTTGGTTGTAGGAGGAGAGGAGGTAAGTACAAGTGCGAACGGGAGACTCCAAACATGCAAACAACCATATGACATTGGTGGAGAGCACGACGGTCGTCGTAGCAGCGTATATTATTTAACAACTGTCATATTTGCCAATGTCAATTTGGTTTGCTGCTGTTTGCCGTCTCTTCCATAACCACTCGAGTCAGTCGCCAGTTACTGGATTATCGATTTATTGCAAAAATTCATAGTTTTTCTTTGGCGATTTTTGGTCAGTGCACATTTTTTACGGGTTTTTGTTGTTTACACGGTGTAACTATTTCTTTTTGTTTTTCCCCCTTTAGTGTTTTCGTTTTGTTGGCACAAACAACCCGAAAAAGGTGACGAAATCAAATTTAAAAACTTGACAATAATCGACAACAAGGGAAGGAAATAGGAATCCTAACAGGCGTCAAAATGTCTCAACCACAGCAAGAACAACAAACCCCGCCACCACAACAAAAGGCGACACCAGCAAAAAGCATTCCAAATGGCTTGAAATTTGTGTTTGGCGGTGGAGCCGGTATGGGTGCCACCATGATTGTGCAACCTTTTGATTTGGTCAAGACACGCATGCAAATCTCTGGTGCCGGCAGTGGCAAAAAAGAATTCCGCAACTCTTTCCACTGCATGCAAACTGTGATAAGCAAGGAGGGTCCTTTGGGTTTGTATCAGGGCATTGGTGCCGCTTTGTTACGTCAGGCCACATACACCACCGGTCGTCTGGGTATGTTCTCGTATTTAAATGATGCCTATAAGGCCTATTTCAACAAGGATCCCAATGTGTCGGCCAGTATGTTGATGGGTATTATTGCTGGAGCTTGTGGTGCCTTCATTGGAACTCCTGCCGAAGTTGCGTTGGTGCGCATGGCCTCAGATGGTCGCCTGCCTTTGGCCGAAAGACGTAACTACAAGAATGTTTTCAATGCCTTGACTCGCATCACCACCGAAGAAGGTTTGGCCACATTGTGGCGCGGCAGTCTTCCCACAGTTGGCCGTGCCATGGTTGTCAACATGACTCAACTTGCCTCCTACTCCCAGTTCAAGACATACTTCAAAAATGGTCCCTTGCAAATGGAAGAAGGTATTAAATTGCATTTCTGTGCCAGTATGTTGTCCGGTTTGCTGACAACAATTGCCTCCATGCCACTGGACATGGCCAAGACACGTATCCAGAATCAGAAATATGTCGATGGTAAGCCCGAATATCGCGGTACCATCGATGTTTTGGGTCGGGTGTTGCGCCAAGAAGGTGTTCTCGCCCTCTGGAAGGGCTTCACACCCTACTACTGCCGTTTAGGTCCACACACAGTGCTGACATTCATCTTCCTCGAGCAATTGAATCAAGCCTATTTCAATTTTGCCGCCAAAAAGGATCTGTGATTGTAAAGTAACTACTGGCTGCCATCACACAAATGAGACGGCTGTGGGCAAACCCAAAAAGCAAAAATCATCACAACACACACACAAATAATCTGTTTTATAGAAAAAAGAGATTTGTATCTATTGTATGTAATTTAATTGTAAATGTGTAACGAGTTCCCTGGTAAGAAATCGAAGAAAAAAATTGACCTCGTTCCTCGTTCTGTTAATTGTTAAAGATTGAATGAAAAATGATAATAATAATGTTAAATGAGATTCCAGATAAATAAAGCCAATTGAATGAATATGGGATATACCACCTATTAGATAAAATATGAAAAAAGTTTGTTGTTGGTGTTTTTTTTTATTATGTGCCAATATGTTGCTCTTCATTGAGTTTGAAAACAAAATTGACTTGTTTTCACAACACAAAACTAATTGTGACTAAAGACAGTTGCTAATTGGTTGTGACGAGGCAGAGACCTAGTCATGCAGTGGAAGCGTTACTATTGTTGACTTACTTTATTAATGTTGTTTACACCATTGCCAGTGCAAATGAACATGGATTTTGGGATTTGTTTGAAAAATATACATTTTTATTTTACTAAAAAAACTTTTGAAATCAGAACCACAGCAAGTTATAGTGAAAGATGGGTGTATTCATGGTACAATGAAGATAATAAAATATAATAAAAAATAAAAATAATAATAAAAAATCAAACAACTTGTTGCAATTAATTTGGAATAAATAAACCACATTTTTTCATAGAACTGTTTGAAATTTAAAGCTCGTAATTTTCAGAAATATTAGTAGAAAAATGGTGGATGGTATTCAACCGGGCCGAACTCAATTGTTTTTAACTTGTTTTTGAGCTTCTTTAATGTATAAAAATTCAATGCTTGTCCGGATTGGATGGACAGTAAGCCGTTGGGTATAGTTCATTTTCAAGAAAATTGATCTATGGAGGGTCTCCTAACATAGACATACATGCATTCTAAAATGGTCATACAATCAGCTTGGTTTCGGGGATGACATAGAAATGATCCCAAATACTTGAACATTGAATATTCTGGTTAGTACATGAGAATAGCCTAATCTGCCTTTAGAGGGCTCATAATATGGACATACGTGCTTTCTACGACAAGTATGCAGTAAGTATGACGTCGGTTTCAGATGAGTTATTAGAGAAGTTGTATTGTTTCTACGTTCCTTATCGTCAGATGGACTGATATTATCATTACAAAAAAGGCTTGATATGCTCTGTGAAAGTGTACATTCATTGCAATGTTAAGATATTGGTAACGCTAAAGGGCATGACGGATTCTGCAGGTGACCTGAAACAGTTCAAGTAGTTTGTAGGTAGCTAAAGTCGTTCTCTGTTATATTCCATGTACTACCGAACTGTATATTTTTCTGGACAGTATCGTGAATAAGAAGCCAAAGAACTAGCGAAGAGATTCCCAATCCTCCGTTTAAAATAACGAGGGATGTATAAAGCTAGCCAGACACAAAAAGTTCTACTAGGATGAAGCTACGTTTGTATGGCGTCAATAACCTATACGCAAGATTCCAAGGTGAATCCCGCCGGGACATTCAAGCTGCTTAGCAATACTAAGGTCGCATTTATACTCGGGTCATCACCGAGCACTGAAACAAAGTCCCCAAGTAGATTATGAATGGAGGGTAAAAAGAAAAACTGTTGCCACTGTACTGAAGAGTAGGAATTTTATGATTGAGCAACTCCCCCGTAGTTACTCCAAAATCTTTAAAGCATTTATAAGAAGGTTGTAGAGATTAGGGTAGGGTTTTGCTAATTCAAACCAAAAGGGTACTAAGAGTACAAAATGGTGCGACATTATATCATGCATTCACTTAAAGGGAAAACTAGAGTCTGAAATTTGAAATGCGGATCACTGCTGGTTTGTAGGGGTGATCTACGTTCTGCTACTAATTGCGACTAAATCTAGAATTGTACAATTTTGATAAATGTTTGAACCTAGGGGTGAGACAAAGCTGCTATTCAAATTAAAATTTGTACTTGGAATACTCATACGCGTATACGGGAAAAATCTGTAATTGTGAAATGTGGTATTTGGGTTACCGTTGGTGTGTAAAGTGTGATTTGGTTGGTTTGTAATACCTTGGAATATTGGTCTTAGGGAGAAATCATATCCTAGGTGGAAAGAGTATTCTTTTCTACGTTAACGGGGATGATGGATTCTGTAGTGGATAAGGCTGCTATTTTGGAAATAAAATTGTACTTAGAATACTCAAGTGCTGTGTCGTGGCATTTGGCATATGGGTAAAGCTGGAATTGTTGGTTTTTACTTTTTTAAGATTGTTTAGGAAATAATGTTTTTAACTAAAATTAATATTGGCCCTATATCCAACGTGTAGCATACCGATCTTCCTATCTCGGCGAACAGAGACGATATAGCTATATATGTCCGTGCGTCTATCCAGGTAAATTTGTAATCACGTTGCAAATCGCAATTAAAGCCCGATCCTTACGATATTGGGTATGGAGTGAGAGTTAGGGCCAAAATAGAAGCATATGCACAAAATATTTAGGGGTATCAAATGAACAAAAATATTCTTTAGAGGTCACAATTATAGACCAAGAGTTTAGAATAGAGAGAAGCCTACCACTTTGTATGATATTTGGATAATATTAAGCGTTTGAAATGGTCCATAGGTTGTCTGGCAGAAATTAATTTAATTTAAAATTTAAATTTAATTATAAATATTACTTTTCACTGAAATTGCAAATACATGAAGTTGATATTTCTGACGTTTACATTGATGTTGATATATAGTCAAATGTTTTTCATTTTCAAATCTATTTTTAATTTCCATTGGTTGCGTAGCTAGAGGACAATTTCCGAATTGGCACGGACTTTTTGCTCCGATTAGAATCAAAGATAACCTTAGTTAATTTAGTTTAGTTAAAAGAGTTTCAGATCTACTGAAAATTTGACGCTGGTGATGTAGGGTATCAGACTCCATCTAACGGTACCTCCCAATATTCGGCATTTTACTGATATTAGCGACATTATTTAACGAAATTATTAAATGTTGGTAATGGGTACTACAACTTATGACAGAAAATTGTCTACGTATGTCCACGTCTTCATATAGCCCACATATAACGGTAACTCCGTATATTCTGTATTTTTATGATTTTAGCAACAATATTGGTCGGAATTGTTTCAAATTTAGTATTTGAAGCTCGTAATTGGTACTACAACCTATGACGGGGATTTGTTTATGTGAGTCCGCGTCTTCGTATAGCCCACATATTACAGTACTTCCCTTTATTTGGTATTTTGAGGATTTTAGCGACAATATTAGCCGCAATTGTTTCAAATTTCGTACTGGAAGGTCTTAATGGGTACTACAACCTATGACAAAAAATTAACTATGTTGGTCCACGCTTTCGTATAGCCCCCATACAACGAGATCTCCAAATATTTGGTATTATTATGGTATTAGAGACATTATAGACCGAAATTGTTTTAAATTTCGTATTTGAAGTTCGTAATGGGTACTGCAACCTATGACAGAAAATTGTGTGTATAGGTCCAAGTTTGCGTATACCCCACATATTGCGATACCTCCCTTTATTTGGTATTTTGACGAATTTAGCGACCATATTCGCCGCAATTGTTCTAAATTTCGCATTTGAAGTTCGTAATGGGCACTACAACCTATGACAGAAAATTTTAAATGTAGGTCCAAATTTGCGTATACCCCATATATTGCGGTACCTCCCTTTATATCGGTTTTTGAAGGTCTTAAGGTTACCACAGTCTATGGCAAAAAATGTCTTCGTATAGCCCTCATATAAGATTCCTTCCGATATTCGATATTTTCATGATTTCAGCGACATTATTCACCAGAAGTGTTTCAAATTTCGTATTTGAAGTTCGGAATCGGTACTACAGCCTATGACAGAATATTACTTATGCAGGTCCACGTCTTCATATAAGTACCATATAACTGTTTTATTTTAGCGGTGTTTTTCGACTGATTTTTTTTTTTTTTAGTTGGCCTGGGCGAATTTAGATGCTTTTTGTTTTTTCAAATTATTTGGCTATTACATGACATTCAGTGTAAATATACCCATCGTTTTATTGATTCTCATTGATGTTGAATCAGAATGTGGCAATCGTAACTGAAAATTACTTATCACATTTATGTTTGGGCACGACAACTTAAATAAATATTTTTGTTCTGAATGCATTGCAGCGAATTGTTTGGATTTTTTGGCAAATAAATCCAATCCCGTGACTTCGTAATTAATTATGAATTGATAAGAGCAAATCGGCAGCGTGGCAACAACATTTCTTATGTTTATAAATGTGTATATTGAATAAGTATATATGTGACAAGCCCACATAAGCCGTAAACGATATATTTGCTTGGCTAATTAGAGGGTTTACAAGCCTTCTGCCTTTCAGCTTCACTTTGTTGGGTATTTAAAACGACTTTGTAAATGGAAATGGTGTTCCACAGAAATTGCCTAACATTGTTTTTTATACCCTACACCACATAGTGGTAAGGGTATTATGTCTTTGTGCATTTGTTTGTAACATGGAGAAGGAAACGAGATAGACCCATAGTTACTTTTGAGAACCTTCATAGAATCACTTTCTGAGTCGATTTATGCATGTCAGTCCGTCTGTCCGTCCGTCCGTCCGTCTGTCCATGTATTCTTGTGAACAAAATGCAGGTCGCATTTAGTGTCCGATTGAGATGAAATTTTCCAAACAATATTTTTTTGGCCCAAGGACGAACCCTATTGAAATTGGTGAGAATCGGATCAAATTTAGATATAGCTCCCATACATATCTTCATCCGATTTCGGGTTAAATGTGCACCAAATATCCACTATCAGTCCAAATTACCTGAATTTTGGCACACCCAACCGAGTTCGGCCTAGAAGCAAGTATATAAAATTTGGAGAAAATCGGTTCAGATATATCTATAGCTCCCATATATATCTTTCATCCGATTTGGAGCTTTTGAGCTTTCCTTACTGGTTTTTTTTATTTTTGCAAAATTATCTGTCTGGCTCTCGGGCTTATTCCATTCGTGAGATTACTGTATTCGTGTTAAAGATTACAAAAAAATATGAATAACAAAATGGAACTAATCGATAGTAGTGACAGACAGACAGAAAGCCCGCACTACTGGACTCAATGGCGTAGACGTTTATTTTTTGTTTACTGCGAACTGATTAATATGTGGCTATAGTTGTTGTTGTTTGGCTTTCTATTTTACTTTTGTTGTTTTGAATTCGCACTATGCTAAAGTGCCCTATTATCGAACATAGATGTTTTGGAGG